TCCTGTATATGGGGGCCATTTCTTAGAGATATGGTAAATATTTCCTGACGAGAACAATTCATTCACAAATAGAATAATTCATTCACAAATAGCTACAATACTCAACTACTAAGCTTTAAACTTGTGCTTCTGTTAATCGTTGTGCGCTTAGACTTTGAGGTTTAGAAGAGTTTAGGGTTTTTCAAATAAAATTAGTTGAGTTTTTCAGACAGGATCGACAAAGAAAGGTTTGAACGGTAAGAAATGGTTTAATTTTATCCCTAGGTCGTGGTGGTCACGGGGGTGGTAGAGGTGCACAAGGGGCTAGTGGAGGTGGTAAGCGTAATAGGGTACAAAGAGGGATGAATTTATTATTTTTGTCTACTATACTATATTTTCCTATAAATAACTTTGTCTAATCACTGCTTATTCATGAAGTCAAAAAGAAATTTCGGCACACTCCCTACCAAGATGGCGGAAATTGAAGAAGCTATTGGATGTCAGTTCCAGTCCCTTTCTATTGTTTTTGTCTGCGCGGTTAACACAAAGCTGGCTTCAATTTGAGCAACCAAGTTCCTACTCCAGTTATATATGGAGCTCACTGTTGGACGTCAGTTCCAGTCCCTTTCTATTGTTTTTGTCTGCGCGGTTAACACGAAACTGGCTTCAATTTGAGCAACCAAGTTCCTACTCCAGTTATATATGGAGCTCACTGTTGGACGTCAGTTCCAGTCCCTTTCTATTGTTTTTGTCTGCGCGGTTGACACGAAGCTGGTTTCACTTTTTGGACTCGAGTTCTCGCTCCAGTTATATATGGAGCTCAGTGTTCCTTTCTGCTGCTTGACTTTGTCTTGACATAATCTGGTGTTTTCTTCAGGTGGTTTAATGAACAATGCAAGCGGTGCGGGTAGTCGTGGTGGAGTGGATAGCGGACGGGGTGACAAGGGGTGGGGAGGGAACCTAGGTGGTCGAAGAGGGAGTCAAGAAGGAAATCCCTTTGAGAAAAAGGGAGACTATTATCATCATGACACTTATCGAAGTTGAGTGAAACTCGTGTGCGGGTGGTTGCGGGCTGAGAACGTCAGAATTGTGTGAAGAGGGTGATATAAAGGTGCAACGTTGAGGGAAAATAATGCAATCCATGAACAATCGTGGAGCCAGTAAAATGCTTGTATTTCGTGGGGTTTTCACCTTAGGTTTTTAACAGCAGAGTTTCCACCGTTTTTTGTGACAACAAATAACTGCAGTTGTAAATGCCAACTAATATAACCTTTGCTATAAATTGAGTTTCAGTAAATTGGCGAACTAATCTCCTTCTGCAATATATTTGTAAGTTGAGTCTATATATAATGTGACGCTATTGAACTGATTGAAAAATCAATACAAACTTTATCTAAATAGAACTTGAAATGATTTCATATTTAATAACGATGATGTATTGCATTGATTGTTTTTCAGCATTTATTTATAATTCTAACAGGATTTAATTAAATAAATAGTTACTTCATCCATACTTTAGTTTACCTTCAATACACTTATAAACACACTTCACTATCTTCATTTATATAATTATCTTGAAATTTTTTTCAATGAAAATTAAAGATGTTTTGTATTTCCCCTCATATCTTGCTTTTTTATACACAATAATACACTTAAGTTTATTTTACACATAAATATTCAACGTCGATTTAAAATTGACATATTATTGTGGCATAAATTTCTTGTGTGCCAAAGTTCTTATGTTCGATCTTTACACGCGTAAAAATCTCACATCTTGTAACAAGTCTGTCAACAAGCCGTCAACAAGTTGTGTTCACACTGCTTGTCCCAAGTTGTCAACAAGTTTGGAACAAGCTGTTAACAAACTTGTAACAACCTTGTTGATATTATCAGATTTGTTGCAAGATTCTTCCAACAAGTCCGATACAGTCAAGATATAGCAATCGTGTTACAACCATGTGTCGTCAACCTTGTAACATTCTTGTTATATCATGACTGTATCAGACGTTTCAGAACAACCTTGTAACAAGTCTGATACTGCCATCAAGCTTGTTACAAGTTGTTAACAGCTTGTTCCAAACTTGTTACAACAACTGGGAACAAGCAGTGCGAACACAACTTGTCGACAGCTTGTGAACTGATTTGTAACAACTTGTTTGCAGACTTGTAACAACTTGTGCGTTTTTACGTGTGTATGTCGCACATTGCATTTCTTTGTTTTGTTTTGTTCCCCCCACGTGCTTGGCACGTGTAAACCATGCTGTAGATTTTTAAAACTCCATTCAGATAAGTTCTCTACAGCATCATATTCAATTGAAAGTATTGTTGGCCATATAAGAACTGGACTGCCTCTGGATAATTTAACTATATGTTTTACTCCGCAGTTATTCTACTTGCACTTATTGTATGACAGCATCAGTGGTCCAAAAAGCTGCGGGTATTACCCACATAACATGAAAAGGCACAAGTTGTAACAAACCTGCAGCAGACTTGTAGCAATGCTGTTCCAACAACTTTGTCAACAGGATGTGTTCGCACTGCTTGAAGAATAAGAAGCCGATTTTGAATATGACATAGTTTGTATTTTTTGCAAAAGCCATGATTCACATAATTTTGAAGGTTTCAAAACTTGAATTTTTACCGAGAAGTTTTAAAACTTTTTGCAATTTTGCAACTCTGGGCTGCATAAAAATACCCCCAATTCTCATAATTAAGCTGATAAAAACCATGACGAAGAACATTATATATATAGCTTAACCATACTGCACTCGGCAGTTTCTCCACTCGAGCTTATTACGAATAACTAGACCGACGGCGGGCCACGTGATTCAAACCGTTAGTCTGTGGACGAGTAGTAACTGCAATATTGTCCAACTCGAGAGCCAATGGCGATATCGCTTGCCTGCGAGTTCGCGGACTGGCCACCGCGCCCGCAGAATTTAAGGCACTACCTGGAAACGTCACTTCGAGTCCAGTCTTTGGTAACGCTGAGTAGTTTGTTGGACTATTCATACTGCTTCTTAGTCCCTCTCTGCTTCGCAGTTGAACACTTTTCAAAGCTTGGCTAACAACTTGAGTCTTTTTCCGAGGCGGTAGTTTCATCTTTGCCTTCGCATAAGCGTTGTAGAGCGAAAAATTTGTCGTCACTATAGACGTTGGTAAGGCGAGTAGAAGTACGCCAGTGATGGCGCAGGCGCATCCGACGATTTTCCCGCCAACAGTGGTAGGAGATACGTCACCGTATCCTACGGTTGTCATGGTGATAAGCGACCACCAAAAAGAAGCGGGAATGTTTTCAAAGCCATCGGTGTTCGCTTTGTGTTCGGCGTAATAAGCCAAAGCTCCGAAGGAGATTACCAGTATAGAGCAAATAAACAACAGTAACAGCAGTTCTCGTATGCTACCCGTTATAGTTTGTATAAAAACTTGCAAAACGTACGAGAAACGAAACGCTTCGAAAGCACGATATAGTCGGAGCACGTAAACGACTTTGAGTATCTCTAACGATTCGTTGTCGTTGAAAGCAAGGGTAATAAAGTACGGCAGAATTGAAAAAAGGTCCACCCAGATACTTTTATCCCGTAAAAGTTTTCGTATCGATGGTGCGGTTATCAGGCGTAACATTAGCTCGATCGTGAAAAATGTTATGACGAAAGTCTCGAGTCCGAACGCGACTTCGTACGTCTTCGACGACTTGTCGGCAAACTCCGGTAACGATAATAGACAGAATACCAACAGGACTAATATGGATAGCAACACGGACAGCAAGTTAATCACCTGAATAAGAAAATGGGAGATATTAATGATAAGATTTCAGTTACGATTTATTTTAAAAAACAAAAATTTTCGCTTCCTTGGGAAGCAAATTTTGTTTTGCGATAACTTTGTATGCGGTTAATGCCTCATTTATATTAAAATTGACAAAAAGTATCGAAATTTGACGATTGTAATTGCGATTAGATTATATTCAGATATTGGGCCAGAGCTATGAATCATGCATGTCCAATCTTTTAATCAATATATGCTAGGGTCAGACTGAATAGTATATGTTACTTGTTTAGTCCCTTTAGGAATGGAAAGAATAATATAATTCTGGCGATTTTAGTATTTCTATTTTCAGTACTTTAAGATATTATGCTTGTGATGTTACTCTGAGTGTATATCCACACCGGGCAAGCTTGAAAAATATGCCTGGCCACGGTGGGAATCGAACCTACGACCTTTGGAATACTAGCCCAATGCTCTTCCAAATGCTCTTTTGGCAGAGCATTGGGCTAGTATTCCAAAGGTCATATAGGTTCGATTTCCACCGTGGCCAGGCATATTTTTCAAGTTTGCCCGGTGTGGATATACACTCAGAGTAACATCACAAGCATCGTATTCACCTGAGTACATTACACCAACACAGAAAAAAAAAACTTTAAGATATTGTTACTGTTTTCCATTTTTCTGATGTTATAACGGTCAGACAGTTTCGCTGTTGTTTGGCCATGCACTCGACTTCAATGAAAATAATTTCTCTTAATCGACCTTTCCCCTTATAACTAAAAGTTTGATCTAGACAAGTCTAGACAAAAATTTCATCACAGCTTGAAAGAGCATCACAAAATTAGTAATATTCCGAAGTTTTGTTGCGAAATGTTGTAAAATGCGGATAATATAGCCCTGCGAAATTTTCAATTTTCAGTCATTGTGTATTACAAACAGGAAATTGATGCCCCAGCACAACTCCCGATTGGGCTGTCAATTTCCCATTTGTAATACAAAATGACTGAAAAACGGCAAATTTCGCAAGGCTATATTATCCGCATTTTACAACATTTCGCAACGAAACTTTGGAATATTATACTAATTTTGTGGTGCTCTTTCAAGCTGTGATGACATTTTTGTCTAGATCAAAATTTTAGTTATAAGGGGAAAGGTCTATTGATGTTTCATGTTTACTTCAACATTTAGAAATACGTCTGCCAGTCATGACAACACAGTTTGAAGTATAAATATTTTCTTTTAGAAAACCGTTTCCATGTGTTCCTTGCCACGTAACCACGTCATGACCGTATGTTGTTTTTAGTTTGATGAAAAATTACGTAGAGTTGATGCGCTCCGAAATAGATCGTTATGTCGTCTGTTCTTAAAATATTGAATCATACCTAATTTTATGATATTTTTATCACTGCATATTCCTTAAGCAATAGGGAGTCGGAGATCACTGGGTAGCCCCGGGAAAATTTTACAGACGATGACTGAAAACATAACAATGCTCGGCAGGGACGTACTGAAAATTACCGAGAATTGACTGAAAATTACCGAGAGGTGACTAAAAATTACCGAGAGGTGACTGAAAATTACCGAGAGGTGACTGAAAATTACCGAGAGTTGACTGAAAATTACCGAGAGGTGACTAAAAATTACCGAGAGTTGACTGAAAATTACCGAGAGTTGACTGAAAATTACCGAGAGGTGACTGAAAATTACCGAGAGTTGACTGAAAATTACCGAGAGTTGACTGAAAATTACCGAGAGGTGACTGAAAATTACCGAGAGGTGACTGAAAATTACCGAGAGGTGACTGAAAATTACCGAGAGGTGACTGAAAATTACCGAGAGGTGACTGAAAATTACCGAGAGTTGACTGAAAATTACCGAGAGGTGACTGAAAATTACCGAGAGGTGACTGAAAATTACCGAGAGGTGACTGAAAATTACCGAGAGTTGACTGAAAATTACCGAGAGGTGACTGAAAATTACCGAGAGGTGACTGAAAATTACCGAGAGTTGACTGAAAATTACCGAGAGTTGACTGAAAATTACCGAGAGGTGACTGAAAATTACCGAGAGGTGACTGAAAATTACCGAGAGGTGACTGAAAATTACCGAGAGGTGACTGAAAATTACCGAGAGGTGACTGAAAATTACCGAGAGGTGACTGAAAATTACCGAGAGGTGACTGAAAATTACCGAGAGGTGACTGAAAATTACCGAGAGGTGACTGAAAATTACCGAGAGTTGACTGAAAATTACCGAGAGGTGACTGAAAATTACCGAGAGGTGACTGAAAATTACCGAGAGGTGACTGAAAATTACCGAGAGGTGACTGAAAATTACCGAGAGGTGACTAAAAATTACCGAGAATTGACTGAAAATTACCGAGAGGTGACTGAAAATTACCGAGAGGTGACTGAAAATTACCGAGAGGTGACTAAAAATTACCGAGAATTGACTGAAAATTACCGAGAGGTGACTGAAAATTACCGAGAGGTGACTGAAAATTACCGAGAGGTGACTGAAGATTACCGAGAGGTGACTGAAAATTACCGAGAGGTGACTGAAAATTGCCGAGAGTTGACTGAAAATTACCGAGAGGTGACTAAAAATTACCGAGAGTTGACTGAAAATTGCCGAGAGTTGACTGAAAATTACCGAGAGGTGACTAAAAATTACCGAGAGGTGACTGAAAATTTCCGAGAGGTGACTGAAAATTACCGAGAGTTGACTGAAAATTGCCGCGTGTTGGCGGTCAAATGAGCAAAAATTTTCCCATCAAAATGTGAACCAACTCCAAGCTGGTGAGGGTCGGCATGAGAATCATGAATGTTGGCGGTCATACGCGATCGACAGTTGCAACTTTCAAGTTTCATCTACTCTTATCTTCGTTTCACCGGGCCTTTGGACGTTTTCTTTGATAAGGACGTTAAACCGTATAGACACTCGCAGAACATATAAGCTTGTATTTGGGTAACTTCGTGCACACGCCATTGACGCCAATGTAAAGTTTACTATATATGGAGGTTTTCTGATTAGGGCCATTCCATTTAATATCCACCCCCCCCCCCCCTACGGATGAGGTCAGTAAAATTTTAACCCCTAAGAAAAAAAGATCAAAGTGCCGACACAAAACACCCCTCGGAAATTTGTAAATTTCCCCCTTACCCCTCAGAAAAATCGCAGAGATCAAAGGATGCCGACAGGCTTAACCCCTCAGAAACGACTTTTTGAGTCACCCTTCAGAAAAACTCATCCGTAGGGGGGGTGTGGACATTAAATGGAATGGCCCTTACGTGACCAGAAAGAGAACATGTGGTGACAGCCTTTATGCTCAGTGTCAAAATATTGGATATTTATATAAACTTTGCAATATGCTGAATAAACAAATCTTTTTCTAATCTAGAAAGAGCCATAATGACGCAGTATTAATATAGATTGCATAATTCATAACGATCTTACATCAGTAGTAGCGTATTCCAGAAATATGAGTAGCCCAGCAAGCTATAGCTGCTTCTCGAAATATTCATTATCTAAGCCTCTATTAATTTGACAATTGCTTTTGTGTTGTTCAAAACAATAGAATTGCTTCATTCTTCATTACAGCCTTCCTCCTTTTGCTTAGTTTTGCAAGTCTTCTGAGCAGCTGCAAGCCGACCAAGAAATCTTAACGTCCGCTCTAGAAGTCTGGCTATACATAAGTGTTGGGACATAATTATTTTTCAATTTGAATTTAATTTATTAAAGCGGCTTACCCATGCTATCTTGCTAGAATACGGGTCTTCCAGTACCCTCCACATTCGCTTTCGAAATCCTCTCCATTTCTTCTTCACTGCATGATTCCAACCACCTTCGTTTTCACTGCTAGCCATTTCGCCGTCCGAGCATACATCGCTATCTTCCTGATCGCTTAACGATTCTGCCGGGACTTTGCTCATGAGCTCTCCCCAGGTCTTTTCCAACTCGTTGTGCTCATCGTAGTAGGCCCAACAACAATGCTCGATTTGCTTCGGATCAATCCCCCAAAATACCAACTCTTCGTGGAACATCGGGCCGCATATATCACGAGGAACGTGAAGTTTCCCCGTGCGAAAGTAGTTCAAAATATGTGCAAATATCCCAGGGTGGCGATCGAAAAAGAACTCTCGATCGCGGTCAGGGTTTTTTCGCAGTTGCTCGCTGATCCAGGCCAATCGCGTGTCGGGAAAGTTTTCGAGCGTGTTCAAGAACGTTTCGTGCTTCGTTCCTCCTACATTGAGAATGACACGCACGTCTTGGTCGGTATCCAACACATCCATAAAAGCAGACATTTTGATGACTGGATACAACAGCAGTGTGTGTGTTTATCTCATTAAGGTAATTGCAGGTTTAATCAGCAGCACGTCCTTGCTCGTGTTGAATATATTACGGACACTATAAATGGAAATTAAGCAAAAGTTAAAAGTAATTAGGATTTGTATCTTCAATATTTTTAGTAAATAGAGAAAGTGCTTTCTGAGTGTAAAATTCTCCGGAATCTTTAGTCTCGGGATCTTGGTGGTTTTTTTTCCAATGAGCCGTAAGACGGTAGGACCATGTACAAAATAGAAGACCTTTGTTTGATGTTGAACTGGACCTGAGCGTGCACAAATCCTTTGTCTTCATTAAATTTGAGTTTAACGTGGTTGCACGTTTCATTTCAGCTATCCATAAGCTATTGGATCGACGGTCACTTAATTATACGAAAATACAATCATGCAGTCTAATCACCGTGACCGTGCCCAAATTAACATAAACTCATGGACAAAAACATATAGCAAACACTTCTGTTTAGTGTCCAGACCTTTGGCCTTTCGGGCTGTTGCATATTTTACGAGCTATCTTAAAGACCACATGTTAAATAAGTTGAATCTAATGGTTTTTAATATGCCTTGGTTTTAACTATGGTTAAATTAGGATTTGTATCTTTAATATTTTTTTTAGTAAATAGAGAAAGTGCCTTCTGAGTGTAAAATTCTCCAGAATCTTTAGTCTCGGGATCTTGGCTTTTTTTTTCAAAGAGTCGGACAGTCTGAAACCGTAGGACTGTATGAGTGTTCCAACTATGTTTTAACTTGAATATACATGATAGTGTTGGGAAAGCATTAAGGATTTAAGAACAGCAAGGTCGTGTCACTCTGCATGCTATCCTGAGGAGCTGACGGTTTTATTAAGGGGTTACGTGACATATGCACTCCAGTTTTCAATCAATCATTCGTCATGTTCTTGATCAAATATTTTCCTTTCCAAACGTTATCAATGGACGATCTTTTATTAAATACGGAACAGTCTGGTTTTCCTTAAAACTATATACAGGCAGCGATGTTTGCTTTCTTAAATTATTTTAATATGCGCAAAGTATGTTGTCGGTCGTGGACTCTAGTCTTCTTTCTTAATTTGAATGCTAATCTATATCTTCATGGTTTAATACATTCCATGCGCTATAATCTATATAATCCCTCTCTCCTCCGTAGAGCTTTCTTGGCTTTTTAATAACAAGGCGAAGCTTCGATATCATAAGACATAAACAAGGTCCAGGGATATAGAGGCGCTAGACTATGTAATGAGCGAAACTGAGGAAAATTTTATGTTTTGTTGTAGCATGCATTAGGTTTTGCCAAAACTCCTTTGTGCATGACATTTGATAACAAATTCTAAACTGGATGCGTATTGATTGACACGTCTTGGACACGAGTTAAGCCTATTATGAATCATTTGTTGCCCCCAATTTTATAAGTACGAGAAAGCCGTAGTGGTAATATATAGATTTTTAACTAGCGTACAGGGCAGTACAAATTGCCGCTTTTTATATTAATTTCTGCGCATATAATTCAACAATAATGTGTCTGATTCCCACGCCTGTTGCAGTCGTTTATACATCGCTAAAGACCTTTAAAAACCAACTTCAGATTGTTTAATTTTAATTTATCAATGAAAGCCAATATCGTTCATTAATCTATACATAAGGATCTGTAATACTTTGCCACTGTTTCTCTCCCGAAGTTTTTTTTTACAAGGAATAAATGAATTTTAAAAATTAAGTACTATCTATGGCTATGCCCATGGAAATGCAGTCAACACTTTGTTTAAAATGTTGTTGACCCGGCCAATATTTATATCTTTGGGACGGCGGAATATTATAATTATGATGATGATTTATATAAATGTCAGACTTTTTTACGTTACCTACCGCCAGTGCTTGTAATTGCAGTAGTTTCGCCAATTTCTACGCAAATTCTAGTCCTCTTTTAGTCTTTTTACTCTTGTATAAACTTGATGACCAATGCTTTGCCTATTTTCAGGTTTGCCTTGAGTGTGCACTCTACTTGTCGATATCCGACGAATATTTATTAAACGTGTATATTCTTTCTGATTGTTCTTCCGTTAATTGCAATCTCTTTTCATCTATACCCATTCTTTGTTTCTAAAACATAAAATCTTCTTTCTTTCCTCCTTGTTAGGCTAGCAAGCCTTTCTGTCTCTTGCTCCAACCTGCAGAGGTTTGACCTTCGTTAGCTATCAGTTGTCCTTAATTATTAAATGACGTACAGTGTAGACAGTGTACACGTTCGTTGAAAACTCTACTCTTTCACAGTTTCCTTCACAGCTTATTCATTAACACCTTAAGCCACAATGCAGCTGACTTTGCAAAAGGTTTGGCGTTTGATATAGTTGTTGTTAATTTCAAGAGAAACATACGTCGGTTCAAGATATTGATATTGAATTACTTTGTTATTTGAGTTCCCCAAATGTCACATCAAAAGTGCGGTTTCGCAAGTAATTAGCAGTCCCATTCGCAATAACAAATGCTTTTAAACATTAATTCATTTGGTCGGTCTGCTGCACTACTAAGTAGATTCCCTCAGCTTTTTTTAGACCACAGCGTATTTAAATACATCTTAAAATCTCTTTTAGGCGTATTAAATGCAAACACATCATCGCGTTGTGAAAGGTGAGATCTGCTCACTGAGGCACTAGGAATCCAAAATGAGTGTTGATTGTTGAATTTAAATGTATATCGGCGAAAATGTCGTATGACAGAAATTAGGAGAAAAGATAAGTTTCTAATATAGCACGCGGCATGAGTAAATTACATGGGATGTAGATACTCATCTTGTATCCAGCAACTCTGTTTTGCTATCTGGAACTAGAAAGGCCTAGAAAAAGATCATATTTAGGACAATATTTTCCAGTTTCTTTCATGTTTGCAGGTGTTTTCTTATTTTTAATAACGTATTTATTGTATTCATGCAGTTATTGTATACAAGCCGAATTGTTTGTATAGTTTTGTTTTTATAAACCTGTGATATTAGTTGTTCTATAGCATGGCCAGAATAGTTTAGTTTGTTGTTTTTCTTTTGTGAAGTGCATTCATTGATATATGCACTGTTCCGAGCTACAGCCGGAAAGGTCTGAGTGAGTTGTCTTGTGGTTGACATGACAATACGTCATTAGTTTTGAGATCATTTGGAAAGCAGACGGGCTGTGTGTGCATGTCTATCAACAGGATAACTTAAAAATATCGAATGTATTTATACGAACATTTCTATTAAATACTAATGATCATTGCCCTTTGGATGAGAATTGGATGAGAAATCAGTCATTACTCATTAGCTCATTGTATAATTTATGCATGATGCATAACTTAATTCGCTGGCAGAGGTATTCACTGACCTCTATAGTTCCCCACTGTTTTTGTTATGAAGGGCCTATCTGCTGGATGCAGATGAGAAACCATATGTATAAATATATATTACTTGCTTCAATTTAACTGTATTTTAGATCCGTATAAAAGCTTGTCTTTACCTTGTTTACATACTTTTGCATGCAGGGAAAAGGTTTTGAAAAGCTTCCAAAAGGGCTAATGACTATGCCAATGGAGGACATATTGTCATTCTACGTCTATTCTGTCTATTGGATTTGGATGTATAAAATGCTATCTGAGTTGATAATTTCATAACTGATCCAAAGAATAAATCACTTATAAATGGTATATGTTTTCTCTGGATACTTCGGTGTCCTACATACAATCAGCAAGTAACAATGAAAACATGTTGTTCAGAACTGATGGAATATTTACCAGAAAAATTTTTAATAAGTTTCATTTAACAGATGTCACAGAAATTTGGACCAGATTTATAGATAACGGCTTTGTATTTGCGGTTGCGAATCGAAACAATCTCGAAGCTGGCACTTGATGAACTGGATAAGATCGTCTGGTTGTGTGCATTGTGCATAAGCTAAAAAAATCTGAAGAAAGGCGAGCTCCCTGCGACTAAAAGCTCAGACTCAGTCGGTAGAATTTCAGATCGATTATCAGAATTCAGTATTGGTGTTTTCATAAATTCCAGGAACAAAGAAAATGTATCCTGCATCTTGTCTACACTGATCAAAGTTTCTGTGATCACAGTAGGAATTTTGCGTAGATAAATTCTGCGTTTTGAAGGATTTCTAAGAAATGTTTGATAGAACTGACTCAGTGTTTAACACCATGTCAGTTCCCTCGAACATTTCTTAGAAATCTTTCAAAATTTAGAATTTACCATGGAAAATTCCTACTATGATCACAGCAACTTTGATAGTGTAAACCTGCCTTAAAGGCTCGTTGAAACGAGGCCAACATGTTGCTCCAACATCATCCAGCATCATTGGATGCAACCTGATCATGATTATGATTATGATTATTCAGCTCACTCCCCATCGGGGCTTTTCAGTGACTGATTACATCAAGTATTACGCTTACTAATATTACCTACTAAGCTACACGCGTAAAAATTGAGAAAATCAACAACTTGTTGCAAGTTGATATCGACAGGCGTGAACAATGTTGTGCGGCCAACTATGAACAGTATTGTCAACATGTTGTTACAGCATTGTTCAACTGTAACAACTTGGAACAACATGGTTGACAACTTGTTCATAGTTGCCCGCACAACATTGTTCACGCCTGTCGATATCAACTTGCAACAACCTGTGCGTTTTTAGCCGTGTATAGCTTATAGACTATTTATTTTTACAACAATTGTGATAATGTGATATTACTTTCCCGTAACCCACCCTGTCAACTTGCCCTGTGGGAGGAAACTGAAGTGCCCAGAGAAAACCCACGACTTTCGGCAGAGCGGTGACACACTCTTTTCACATGAATCCACTGTGGACATGAGGACAGGTTGAGCGCCGAAGGTGCGAACACTGTAGGGGCATACTCCCCCGGGAAAATTTTGAAATGCAGAGCCTCTGAAACGTCTTTTCGTGCATTTTGGGGTGAGATTTTGCAAAATTCAGAAGATTATAACATCATAAAATACGCAAAAATAGTACATTTTAAGACTTTTGAACTATTTAATTTGAAAGTGAGAAAATACATGAAAAATACATTTTACGACTTTGAACTATGCAATTTTACTTTTGTGTCTTTTCCTATTGTGTTGTATGTTAATTCGCCCCCCCCCCCCCTGTGGCTACGTCACTGGTCTCGTTTGAACACTATGGTAATGTTGGCTGATGTTGCTTTTGGATCAGGATTTCAAAACTTTGTTTAAAATTTTCATCCAACATTGGACGATGTTGGATTTGTTTGAATGGAACTTAGTGAGTAATGTTGTTCCTGTTTTGTTTCAAATTGTTTGACCCTATATATTCTCTTTGAAAGCTGATTGACTGTCAGTTTTCCCTAGAGGTGATCTCGTCATTGCATGGATCGTTCCAGAATGCTTGCCCAAGACATATCTGAAATTTCTATCAATTGTTCATACTGAGGTCGCGGTCAACTTAAAAGTCGGAAAAGTCAACTTAAAAGTCAAAGTTTGGTCATCGCCAGCTTAGTGCGAACACTATACGTATAGAAACTGCGGTCTCGGGTTCTGGGAAATAAGATAACAGCCTTACTAATGGTGCCATAAATGATTTATGGGAAACTACTAACATTTTCAGAACCTCAAATTAAAAATTATGGTAAATTTTGCAGTCGTATCAATTTTTTATCCCATATCTTTAAATTAAGTTTTTTTTTATTCGTAGAAAACTTTTAAACAGGATTAAATTTTCAGTAAACAATTGAGAACTGTATATCTTCCCTAAGCTTGTTCAGTAGCAACCCTATATATGGCGCAGAAACATACGATTGATACGAATAATTAGTAGAGAAAACGCAAGAATAATTAGTAGAGTAATACTGCAAAAGTTGTGAAAGAATGAGAGGAACTTTAAAGGACACTCTTTTGGTTTTGTCTAGTCTTACTCTTCAGAGGCAATTGGCAAAAGTTAAGCCATACTTTTTGTTGCTTGTGCTATGCCCGGAAATCTAAACCCGCGGAAAGGAGGGACCGCTCACAGTCTTGAAACCATGCCTAAAAACTGGCAGATAGCGGTTCGGTTTCTACTACTGTAACATATTGATTGTGACAGCCAAATAGTTCAGTTGCGATTATACCTTGATTAGATGGCGTGTGTATGTGTTCAGCTGTACAAAACCGTTATCAGGTATGCATATAGATTAACCAATTATTTGTTCAATTACTCGGTGTGTTTTGGGCAATTTTGTGAAACCCGCTGATTTTCGTATGCACATAATTGACGCTGAAAATAATTGACAAAAACGCACAAATTTCAGCCATAATTCCTCTAGACTAATCGCTCCAAATTACATGACGAGCGAGGGACGGTGAGAATCTTCTAACATTCTGCGGTGTCGACTTTTGATAGTTTGATTAATTAAAGCGTATTTTCTACTTGAAGCGTATCGCACCAAAACGTAATGGCGTATTTCTTTGTTTTCTGAGGACTATAGGACCTAATGACTTCGTCACACAAGAAAATTCTACAAGCATCTGTCGTATGCACTCCGCTACCATTATTAATTAAGGGACCACTAACTAATCAAATCCGTTTGAAATGTCCGATTAACCAATCAAATGCGTACTAAGCCAGTGAGAGGTAGTGGTAGCGCTAATGGAATAAGTCAAATCCAGAGGTTAGAGAAGGGGTGGTGTGGGGTGGAGGTAGGGATACAATATAATAAGGGTCACATGACGTATATACCAGAACATAGCACAACGACCGCTGACCAGTAATTACGATTTACATGCAATGCTAGTAATACACCCTTTGATAATTACGTTATACATACTTTTTGGTCTTGGAGCCTCGCTCTCATTGGTAAATTACGCAAGGTGACTGGCTCACGATTCATGGGAGCGAGGCTCCCAGGCCAAATGGCGTAATTACCGAAAGGGTGTATTGGTTCATTAGACAAAAAAGTATTCATCATGATTTGTTTCCAAGACCATTGTCAGTATATAGATCGCGCTATTCTATAGAAAAGAGGGTTATTGTAATCCCTTTTCACCTATACCCATTCTTTGTTTCTAAAACATAAAATCTTCTTTCTTTCCTCCTTGTTTAATAGGCTAACAAGCCTTTCTGTCTCTTGCTCCAACCTGCAGAGGTTTGACCTTCGTCATGCAGGTTGGAGCGTCCTGCAGAGGTTTGACCTTTTGCCAAAACTCCTTTGTGCATGACATTTGATAACAAATTCTAAACTGGATGCGTATTGATTGACACGTTTTGGACACGAGTTAAGCCTATTATGAATCATTTGTTGCCCCCAATTTTATAAGTACGAGAAAGCCGCAGTGGTAATATATAGATTTTTAACTAGCATACAGGGCAGTACAAATTGCCGCTTTTTATATTAATTTTTGCGCATATAATTCAACAATAATCTGTCTGATTCCCACGCCTGTTGTAGTCGTTTATACATCGCTAAAGACCTTTAAAAACCAACTTCAAATTGTTTAATTTTAATTTATCAATGAAAGCCAATATCGTTCATTAATCTATACATAAGGATCTGTAATACTTTGCCACTGTTTCTCTCTCGAAGTCTTTTTACAAGGAATAAATGAATTTTAAAAATTAAGTTCTATCTATGGCTATGCCCATGGAAATGCAGTCAACACTTTGTTTAAAATGTTGTTGACCCGGCCAATATTTATATCTTTGGGACGGCGGAATATTATAATTATGATGATGATTTATATTAATGGCAGACTTTTTTACGTTACCTACCGCCATTAAACGTGTATATTCTTTCTGATTGTTCTTCCGTTAATTGCAATCCCTTTTCATCTATACCCATTCTTTGTTTCTAAAACATAAAATCTTCTTTCTTTCCTCCTTGTTAGGCTAGCAAGCCTTTCTGTCTCTTGCTCCAACCTGCAGAGGTTTGACCTTCGTTAGCTATCAGTTGTCCTTAATTATTAAATGACGTACAGTGTACACGTTCGTTGAAAACTCTACTCTTTCACAGTTTCTTTCACAGCTTATTCATTAACACCTTAAGCCACAATGCAGCTGACTTTGCAAAAGGTTTGAACAGCTTTCGAAATGTCAATAGTGCAGTATTTTCCAGCATAATGCATAATGAATCCGATGTCGTTCTCTAACCAGATCTTTATCATTTATAGACCTGGCGCGAGGTATTTCACCGAATCCCCCGAGCGGAGGGTCTATAAATGATATATCATACCGAAAACCCTTCAAGTTGAGAATATAACACTTGCCACATACCTTCGTGAATACGATGTTTTTTTGGGTTTTTTATTAACGCAAGTATTTGTCACTTTTCTTTCGAATCACATACCGTTTGGAATTTTAATGATAACATTTTTCAAAATTTGCTTCAAAATTTTCAAAAAAGGAGCTTTCTTTGGAGTTCAGAAACTTAATAATTCATCACCCCTTAGTATATTGTGCGCGTGATCGCCACGCGTGGTTTACGCGAATCATATCACCCGAGTGATATGATCAAATCACCCCGTATGAAATGATTGAAATCACCCGCTACGTCAAATACGATGACATAATGCGCCGATTCGATGATAAATTGCATGTTCACGTGGCACAAACTTACCTTTTTGATTGGATACTTTGAATCATGAGGTATATTATTTTCGGCTATCAAACCTATAGCCTTCAACTGGTGAAAGTGAAAAGTGAGGGCTGATAGCCGAAAGCTCGTACATAAAAATATCCGGCCAGAGAACGTTGTGATTCGGTCAACCGTTATTAACTGCGCACAATCGAAGTTAATAGATCGGTTAATTAGTCAATATTTAAGGTGGCGCCATTTTAATATTTTCCTGTTAAAACTTCAGCATGTACATCATGTCTTTTATTGACCGCAAATGAATGCAAATCAATGCAGCAAATTGCTGTTTGATGTCTTTTATTACCCTGATTTTTCAACATAGCCACTTAATAAAGTGCCAAGCTATCAGAGTAGAAAATAATTTCGTTCTTTTCATTGAATGTAGTGCAGTCTTGCAATAGGAAGAAAAAAATGCTATTATAGGGAACACATCCTGTTGACAAGTTATTGGAACAGCATTGCTACATGTCTGCTCCAGGTTTGTTACAACTTGTGCGTTTTTACGTGTGTTTCAGCATATATTTTTTCACTGGGGATGATCGAAATGATACATGCTGAAAAACGCACAAGTTATAACAAATTTGCAGCAGACTTGTAGCAGAGTTGTAGCAATGCTGTTCCAGCATCTTGTCAACAGGATGTGTCCCCACTGCTTGTTCCCAGCTTGTTGACAAGCTGTCAACGGTTTGTTGACAACTTGCTACAAGGTTGTTGAGCTCAACAGGCTTGTTACAAGTTGTTCCAACAACTTGTTATCGTCCTGCAATTCAACAATTTGTCCGCAACATGTTGTGAGTGACAACCTTGTAGCAACTTGATAAAATAACAGCATTGTTACAAGCTTGCTACAAGCCTGTTGCAAACTCATCTTGTTGACAAGTTATGAGATTTTTATGTGTGTATGTCAGTGCATTCAAAGTCATATCAGCTACTAGATACATGTGTATATGCCATGCAGCGCCGCATTACAAAATTATACATGGCTTAATAATTTATAGCAACATATAATTGCTAAGTCAAATTTTATTTTGTTTTCTTGCCTCAGTGTAAAGTTACATAAAACACGGGTAACTTGTACTATCACTAATTCAGCTCAGATTTCTTTGTATATCATCAGACAATAGCACGCGTTCAGCTGCTAACAATATAGTCTTCTACTTTCTACATCTACTGTTTGCTTTCTTAGTTTGCTTTCTAACTCAAAGAGGTTTTGTTCTCCCTGTAACGGACTGGACGTTATCCATCTTGGTTACCTATTTTATCTCTTATTATCTATATTTTAGACATCTCTCATTATCTCATGAAATCCACAACGGTCCATCTATATATCCATATATACCCATGAGAATCCATCTACGGTCTGCTTCATGATTGCGAGCTGTACTACTTTCTGTGTCAGGTTTTGATTGGATGATGGCCAACTGCCTATTGCGGACCAGATTTCGGGTCAGGTTGTGGGTGGATAGAACGGGTTATCTAGGTATGACTTGGGTGAAGGAGGATTCTCTTGGAGCAGAAGTACGCGAGGTTGTTTCCATTACTAAAACCCATCAAGTTATTAGTATTCAGGAATTTCCGGTATTGATATACGCACTTCTTTCGTACGCAATGGCATTGGCGAACCATTCGGTGACTTTTGTGGGTACTTTAGTGGTATCACTGGTTGTTCTTCTGTGACCTGGAATAAGCAGTAAAAAATAAATGAGCCATGTCAATTGTCCGACAATGAAGCGGGCCGTAAGCAGGTGAGAGCTGAAGAAGGTACAGTCGAACCCGTATTAAGCGGTCACCCTCGGGGCGTAGGTAACTGCTTAATACAGGGTGACTGGCCAGCACAGGTCCAAGTAGCATGATTAAAGGGGTTGTTATTGATTCTTAATAAAATCAAGGGAACTGAACATAACAACAAATACAAAATGACAGAGCCGTGCTGAGTTTAGCCGTTGCGGCATGCGGCTAAGTTTGGTCTGGCTCAACACAACAATCATCCTTGATATGGCTTGCAAAAACTTTTCATGTCGATTAAATTGCGCAATGCATCACCAGATGCCATAGTTTCTCTTACCGGTGGCCGTTTGATACAGTCACAAAACAATGAAAAATTATGTTTGGGGCTGTGCGATCTGGTCCGCTTAGGTCTGATCATCCTTACTTGCAGCTGAGAAGTAAGAAGGATAAGCAGCTCAACCTGATCAAATTGAAGGCTTTCAAAGGGCGCCTCTGACAGCCCATACGACCATTTAATAAAGGTCACTTCAAAAGCATTTATACCTCCTGACGTTTGGTCATCTCAATCTGTTCATCCATTCTGTCTTCTTCCTCTAGTGTCGGAATTACCGACGAATACCGACTCCGACTTCGGTACGATCGTCGTCGGCCGTTAGAAATCTTCGGCAGTTCATCGGTGCTTACAATTGACGTCTCGGGAGCATTGAACTTCATGCTTTGTATAGCGCTGCTTAAGATCTTTTTCACTGGTCTCGGAGGTAGCTTGAGCTTTACCTATGAGAAAGAAAATTTGTGTTTCAAGTTCTTTACGTGGCGTATACGTAACTCCCTGGGGCACAGCCCGGCAAAAGCTGGTGGCCTCAAGTCAAATTTCTGGCCCTTGAGCAAGAACACGAAGTGTGGAATTTGAAGATTTTGAGCAATGGTTCTAGGCGTAGGGAAAATAACGCGTAAAAATCTCACAGCTTGTCAACAAGTTGTTCCCAGTTGTTTCCAAGTTTGGAACAAGTTGTTGTCATCTTGTAGCAAGGTTTATGAGGGCAACAGACGCGTAACAAGTTGTTCCAACAAGCTTGTATAACTTGTTACGAACAGCCTGTATTCTTGAGACTTGTTGGGACAACTTGTAAAAAGTCTGTTACCGTTGTAAAAACACATCCTGATAGTTGCTTGACAACAACCTTGTTGCAACGTGTTTGCGGATCTGTAACAACTTGCCCGTTTTTACGTGTGATAGAAAGATTCAGCATTCAGCGTTATCTTGCTTCCGTAAGTGTTAAAATTGACCACCATCTGCAGCACCAAGCCTCAGAGTTTTTTCCCCTAGTCTTCAGCGAGCGAGTAAAGTTAGGTCATTTAAAAAGAACGTTGCGAAAGTTTTAACAGAAAGCTAATTATACTACTAATAATAGTTACCTTGGCATAATTATTATACAACGAGAAATTGCTCGCCATCACAGACACTGGTAAAGCCATCATTAGTACACCACTCACGGCACATGCGCCACCAACCAACTTTCCATACAGTGTCGTTGGCGTGATGTCGCCATAACCTATAATAGTGAAAATTTTAGTAATATCACTTTTTATATAATATACACTATTGTAAGTCTCGCTTCTTGAGGTAACATAAATTGGCTACTTAAATCACATATGGTTATATACATCATGATATTTGTAAGAAATAGACAGTTTAAACGCTCATAGTTTCTACAATAAAAGATATAAAACGTCGTTCTGATGGCAGTAGATATCATATTTCCAGGCCTCCAAGAGGGGTCGAGGGGAAGGGGAAAAAGGGGTAATTTGCCCCGGGCCCCCAGCTAAAGGGGCCTCCAAATAAGGATAAAGTAATATATGCATACAAACCACAGTTAAATATTCTCCCAGAAAGCAGGAATTGCTGTTCCAGGGTCTCTAGATCGGAAGCTTTTCCCAGTGGAGAATTCTCCCTGAGCCCCCTGAACTATTTTTAAATACTTAAAAGTATAGAATACGCATTGAAAATGTTATATAAACATTCAAAACCGAAGGAAACAATCTTGCTAATTGTCCTAAAAGTTCACGAGTACGGAAATCAATCTCTAAAAGAGCACATAAGTGACATAACTTCAAAAATCTTTAACGATAGAAAATCACCAAGGCTCCAAATATTAAATACTACAAGAATAGTACATTGGAAATAATTTAGTAAGCATAATATGAAAAAGAACTGAGTAATGTTGTTCCGGAAAATGTGATAGAGAATAATGGATTTGGCAGCTACATCTTGCGTAATCGCTCATTGGACAACCACATCTTATGTAATATCTCATTATAATATAGTAGTAGTGTCCTACCTACAGTTGTCATGGTGATAAGTGACCACCAAAACGAGGCTGGTATGCTTGAAAATTTGGTATTTTCATTTCTCTCCGCATAGTAGGCGAGCGAGCCATAGGTGACGACCAAAATCGAAAAAATAAAAAACAGCAGAAAAAGTTCTCGAAAGCTCCCCTTGATGGTCTGGATAAAAACCTGAAGCACGTACGAAAAACGAAACGCGCGAAACGCACGATACAACCGCAGCACGTAAAGCAGTTTCAAAACACGCAAATCCTCTTCTCTTGGGAAGCCGAGTTCGAGATAGAAGGGAATTATTGCAACAATGTCCACCCACGTTTGCATTGTTCTGACGAAGGATTTTTTGTCCGGAGATGTGACGAGGCGGACCAGAAATTCGATAGTGAACCAGCATATTGAGGCACTTTCCAAGGAGTATAAGACCACGTTTCGATTTTTTTGATCGAAAATGTGTAGAGTTGAGATGCAGAATAGAACCACGACCAGAAATGTCAGGAGTAATGAGACAAAACTGACCACCTACAATGATAAAATAGTGGATCAGAGATTCAGAGTAAATACTTAAAGTGCCTATGACACGAAATTTCACCCCAAAGGTTTATGGTTGCATTGTAAAGATCACTTAAAATGACTTAATAATTTATTTTATAGAATTTTGGTAACTTGCTCCCTTTTCAAGATATTCAACTTTGTTTCATATGCAAATATCACCGGTGTGACATCACATCACATAATGAGTTTGCAGAAAAGTATAGTTTTCTTGACGAATACGTATCTAAAAAACTTAAAAATTGCCATTGTATATGTATTAATTGCATAACTGGTAATTAACCCTCTGTATTTGTTTGTAAAAATATTTTATCAAGGTAAAATACTGCGTTTTCAAAATGTCATTATGCGATGTGATGTCACACTAGTGATATCTGAAACATGGCTAAACACCAGTGTTTCGTCTGCCGAAGTAAGGATAGACGGATATAATCTTTTCAGATTGGATCGTCTTAATAAACGCGGCGGTGGTGTATGCACGTACGTTCGCAAAGAACTTAAATCATCTGTTTTAAAATCCTTAACTTTCATTTCCGAAGAAAATTTCCATCAACTATGGATAAATGTCCAGTGCCAGAAATTTAAGTCGCTCATAATTTGTGTAGCCTACCGACCACCTGACTGTCCTCTGCACTGCTTTGAACATACATTAAAACCAAATTACATGGAAGCTCTTGTATTAAACAAATCAATCGTGATCCTAGGTGATCTAAATTGTGATGGATTAAAGGATAATTGTGTAGAATATAAAATTATGGATAGATTTTTAAATGAAATGAACCTCACTCAACTTATTAAATCGCCAACGAGGATCACTGATGCAACTCAATCATTGCTAGATGTTATCCTAGTGTCGTCGAAGTCAATAGTGTACCGAAGTGGAGTATTACTTACATCAATCAGTGACCATCTACTTGTGTATGCTGAACTTAAGATTAAGTCTCCTAAGCAACCTTCGCAATACATTACAGCACGTAGCTTTAAAAATTATGTACCGAATTATTTTGCAGCTGATCTTGCGGACAAATCAGATTGTCTCCTATCTATTTTTGACGGCGACGATGTAAATGCTAAACTAAACATTCTTAACTATGCGATCCAGTCTACACTAGACGTTCATGCTCCAATTAAAACAATTAAGATCCGTAACCGACCATGCCCATTTATTACCCAAGACCTTAGAAACCTTATGAAAGAGAGAGATCGATTACATCAACGATTTCTACGTACGCGGGATATTATAGACTGGGTCAATTATAAGAGCTACCGGAATAATGTGAAGAGAGATCTTAAGAAGGCGGAGAATGAGTATAACTCTAATGAAGTACGGCAACATAAAGATAATCCGGGGTCTCTATGGAAAATAGTAAACCGCCTTATACCATCAAAAGGAAAAGAAAGACAAATTTATAAAGGAGACCATAAATCTCTTGCAAATGATTTCAATCAGTTTTTTTCATCGGTTGGTGAAAATGCAGCAAGGGCGTCTTCTCATCTAGCAGATACTAACAACATCAATCTACGAGAATCAATCGAATCAGTCGTTATAACTGAAATCGACCAATTTAAGTTTAGAGCCGTAACTTGCCACGAAGTACGTCGAGTAGTTTTATCGTTACCTCTCAATAAATCATCTGGTCCGGATAAGATTAACCCACGGATCATAAAAGACTGTCTTCCGGTCATTTTGGGTCCTTTAACGGAAATTATAAATTGTTCCCTCCGTACTTCTACTTTTCCTCTGGCATGGAAAAAGGCAGAACTTATTCCTATTCATAAAGAAGGTGACCACGAAGTACCCTCAAATAATCGACCAGTTTCCCTTCTTGTAGTCGCATCTAAAGTCTGTGAAAGATTAGCTCTTGAGCAATTTAGCTGTTACCTAACAAGCAACAACCGACTATCCTCCCACCAAAGTGGAAATGAAAAACTTCACTCGACAGAGACATTAAACGTTTTTATCACTGACACCATCTTAAAGGCCATGGATAAAAAGAAACTCTCAGCTCTAGTGTTGCTTGATCTCTCAAAAGCATTTGACAGTATAAACCATCAGAAACTTTGTTATCGTTTCCTTTAACGGAAGCTGACACTGGAACTAAAAATCTGGAAGAAGACCTACATAAAATTGCATCTTGGTGCTGTGAAAACAATCTTTTGGTGAATCCAGATAAAACAAAATTCATGATCATTGGAACCAGGCAGCTGATGAACGAACTTGATGTCAATATTTCGATCTCTTTTATGGGGAAGATTCTAGAACCTGTTGATTTTGCCAAAGATCTAGGACTTCTAATGGACAGTCACCTAAGTTACGATAAGCACATATCCAATCTAGTGTCGTCCTGCCTTTATAAACTGTGCCAGATAAACAGAGTTAAAAATAATTTTGACAAGGGAACACTTACAATGATAATCACTTCATTAGTGATCAGTAAACTGCTTTACTGTTCCACTGTATGGTCAAATACAACATGCACTAATATAAAGAAACTTCAATCTATTCAAAACTTTGCATGTAAAATAATCACAGGATCCAAGAAATACGATCATGTAAGCCCATTACTCCAAAACCTTGAGTGGCTCACAGTTGACAAATTACTCTATTTCCGTGATGCCGTAATGACTTTTAAATGCATGAACAACTTAGCGCCGAAATATCTTTGTGACATGTTTGAAAAACGATCTTGTATTCATAATCGGTCTACGCGGAACTGCAACTCAATACAGATACCATTGTTTAAAACAGCGTCAGGGCAACGGTCATTTGCTTTTAGAGGAGCTTCAATTTGGAATAACTTAGACACTGAGCTAAAGAAATGTACATCACTTAAGACATTCAAAAGTCAACCTAAAGAACACTTACTGTCTACTTAGACTATAGACTACTTCCTATTTTAGACTATTAAAAACTTAGATATCAGTCATTTTTATTCCTAACTTTGTAGAAACTGTAAATATTTTAAAATTGTAGTTTTTATAAAATAATTTTGTAAATGGGTTCTGAAAAACCCTTTTGGGAGAAACCATAAATTTTAATAATAATAATAATAATAATATCTGCATATGAAACAAAGTTGAATATCTTGCAAACGAATCAAGTTACCAAAATTCTATAAAAGAAATTATTAAGTCATTTTAAGTGATCTTTACAATGCAATATAAACATTTGGGGTGAAATTTCGTGCCATAGGCACTTTAACAAATGGATAAGATTATGCCGTTGTCTGTTCAGTTATAGATACAGAGTATGACGTCATAATAGGGGAAGAACAAGAAAGTGGCTCACGAGCCGAGTGGGTCACTTTTTTGTTCTACCCACATTATGACGTGTATCATAGGCAATATTCGGGCAATATTCGATCAACAGTCGGGCAATTTTGGTTTGTAATAAAAATAAATGGGACAAAATATGTCAATTTAGTCGAAAATTCAGTCAATTTTGTTGTAAATTTTGTGTTTTTTTGAAAATTTGTGTGATGTTGCGAAAAATTTTGGTATGTCCGGAAAAAATTTTTGACTCCCTAAAATGGTACACTGACCGAAAATTTTTTGGTGACGGGGGGGGGGGTGAGGTCGCCGAAATAATTTTTCCGGAAAAATTTTTTTAGGTACTAGTCGGGCACAATCCCGAAAAGTCGGGCAAATTTCGTTCCGCCCCCCTAATTTTTTCCTTCCGGTACGCCCATGACTGTGTATCTATAACTGAACAGATAACGGCAAAATCTTATCTACTTGTTTTATATAATAAAAAGAAAAACCCCGAATTAAACAGGTAAACAGCTCATTTTTTATCCACCCAAACATTTGGAAATAGGCAATTCCAGCTTTTAGTTTATGCGTGCAGGGGACGATGGGAAGTAAGGTATCACATTGCTGATTATGCTGAAAAATAGAAATGGTGGCCGTGTAAACACGGAGTGATAGCTTATACTTGTGAATACTGAAATATTTTGGTTGCTTCGGTGGTTTTTATTGAAATTTTTCAGCATAATCAGCACTATGATACCTTACTTCCCATCATCCCCTGCAGGCATAAACTAAAAGCTGGAATTGCCTATTTGAAAAAGTCGAAATTTTACAAATATCACGCGTACATGATCTGTATAAAAAAGAGAATGCTATTGGATAAGGTTTTGTGTGACGTAATTCCGTGCATCTGTCCTCTAATAGATCATGGCTTTCGACCAATGAAAGCGCTTGAATTCTTAACGTTATTGTATAAAAAACATATGGCATTTGTAAATTCTGAACGCTGATTGGCTAAGAGCCGTGTTGATATAACTCAATGTCAACACGGAAACGTCGGAAAATTTCTTTCTTTATGTTTCTTTGTGCTATGTTATAAAACAAATATAAAACTGTTTTCCGTATTGATATACAGTTATATCAACACTCGTGGAAATTGGGAAAACTCGAAATTGTGTGAAAACACTCCGCCCCATATAACTGTATATCAACACGGAAAATGTTTTATATTTGTTAAATAATCAATAGTAACTCCGAAGACGGTAAAGGAATCATGGGCAGGAGTCAAGAATGACTACATATTATCATAGGTGAAGAAATATGAAAAGTACTATATAAGGTCATTAGTTAAATATTAGTTCTTTGGAAGCTTTAGTTCAAGGTTAGGTTTATGGATTAGAGTAGGATTTAGATTAGGAATCCGATGAGGGTTCAGATTTCAAGGATTGGATTAAAGTTATGATAAAGATTACATTAGATTAGTGATGCAAAACTGATCACCTGAATGGATTTAGATTATAGGGATCAGATGAAGGTTAAGGTTTGGATTAAGATTAATAATATGGCCCTTGTATGCAATGATAAAATAATGTTTTAGAATAGGATTTAGATTAGGGATCAGATTAAGACTAAGATTAAGGATTGGATTAAGATTAACAATTATTCGCCGAAGGCGAGGTGATTATCGGCAGTGGCGGCGCCAGGCTTCCAAATTTGGGGGGCATTTGAGGGGCAAACTCAAATTTTGGGGGGGCAAGATAGAATTTTTAAAAAGGTCGCCCCCCCAGGAAATTCGCCCCCCCCCCTCATAACGTGGCGATATTCCTAGGAATATTGCCCCGGGGGGCGAATATCCTAGGAATATCGCCTCCCAGGGGGTGGGGCGAATACCCTAGGAATATCGCCCCTCTTTAGGACATTCGCCCCCCATATATGCGATGTGGTTTATTCAAATAATTTCGTGATACTTTCATCTTATTATTGCCTTACACGTTTGAGAATTTAACTCTGCAAAACTAAAGCTTTTTTGTCTCTTTTTGAAACGTATTATTGGAGTATTGGCAAGTTTTACCATTCAGAGATTTACAAACTAATATTGAAACTGTAAAAAAACAGTTTCATGTATACGCGCATTCACTAATGAGTAATGACAACTTATAAGCCATACATTTTCCGATAACGACAGAACGCTTGTGTAGCCTTTAGTCGCTCTTAGAGACTAATAATTTTTTTGAGGGGGGGCAAAATGGGGGGGCAAAAAATAATTTTTGGGGGGCATTTGCCCCCCCTTGCCCCCCCCCTGGCGCCGCCACTGATTATTGGGGAATATTCGCCGAGACGAAGTCGAGGTGCAAAAATACTAATAATATACAGGGTGTATAAAAAAAAACTGAACAGATTTGAAATTGCTCTCAATTTCGCAAAACACCTATTTGTATCCGGTTTTTTATATATATAGCTTCTTTGGGTACTTATAATGTAGAATAATGAAAAAAATTTCTTGAACTCAAATTTTGTGAACCAGGGGAGGGTGTCTTTTCCAACAAACTAAAAATGGCTCGCGCACAAAATTTAAAAGTTGTAATCATATTTTGAGTTAATAGATGGAAACTTTGTCGGGTTTTTAATTACTGTACAACATTTCAGGCAATTTGGTTTAGTTTAAGCTCTTTAACTATTCACGCAAAGTTACATTTTCCCTAAAAATCAGCTATTTGCATGCTTAATTAATGCCTTTACCTAATTTGCATATGTTAGCAATATGCAAATTTAATAGGTAAACGCATTAATTAAGCATGCGAAAGGCTGATTTTTTAAAATAAAATGAATAGTTAAAGGCCTTAAACTCAACCAAATTGTCTGAAATTTTGTACAGTAATTAAAAACCCGACAAAGTTTCCATCTATTAACTCAAAATATGATTACAACTTTTAAATTTTGTGCGCGAGCCATTTTTAGTTTGTTGGAAAAGACACACCCCCCTGGTTCACAAAATTTGAGTTTGAGAATTTTTTTTCATTATTCTACATTATAAGTACCCAAAGAAGCTATATATATATATATATAAAAAACCGGATGCAAATAGATGTTTTGCGAAATTGAGAGCAATTTCAAATCTGTTCAGTTTTTTTTTATACACCCTGTATATTGGAACTAGCTGAAAAAGATATTTCAAATATGGGGTCCGGTGTAGATAATGTTCTACAATAAAATGCCGTGGTTTGTGCCTGAATTATACGTTGAAAAAGTTGTATCAAACGTGGGATCAAGTGTAGGTAGCTAGTATTCCGAATAAACTGTTGTGATTTATGTCTGCCTGAAAAAGTTGAAACAAACTTTAACGTCTCGAGAAAAGGCTTTTAGTTTAGGGGCTTAAAGTTCAGAGCTATATGTAATATGCATAACACACAACCTAATAAATATTTAAATGTGTAAGTATATAACCTAATTCAGTTTAATTATTAATGTCTCGTTCGTTTCACATGTTTCAGTGTTTCACATATATTTCACCTGGTTTCGCTAAGAACTTCGTACATTCTTGCTTACATTTCAAAAACTAAGTAATTTCAGTCCGTTTTGGAGTTTATATCAGTCTGTTTCGAATGATTGAAAGGGTTTAAAGACCTGTTTTAATTAAACTCAGGCAATATAATCTTAGCGCAAAATCCTTGAAAATGAAGCAAAACATATCCATATTAAAAGGTAATTACCGAATTAAAAGTCGGCATGGGATACAAAGTCGGCACAGAAAAGGCGGAAGAATTAGCTGAACCATTAAATTAGCAAGTGGCGTACTTTAATTGGGATTTCAAAGGCAAAACAGATGCATGTGATAACAATTTATTCAAATAAATCGGCAAATTTGGTTTTCAAAGTTAGCGAACTATTTAAGCTTTCAGTTAATTGTCTGTGACGGTAGTGAATAGTGATTCAGTATATATACATCTCATATGAGTCTTCTGCCCGGTTAATGGAGTTTTAATTGTATATATAGTTATAGGATTGCTATAGCTAATATTAGCTATATAGTATATAGCCTATAGGCTATGAAAGCCCATAAAGCCCATATACTACTCCCTTTTTAGGTAATTCATCAATAGTACAATACAACAGAATACTAGTCTTATTGTTACAGAATACTATATTCAACTTGTAGCCTATAAAACCTTCATAAAATTTTATTTTTGTACATTTTCAAGCCTAAGTGTTATAGTTGGATTTTTTTTTAACAACATTTGAATAAATATAATTTGCGTTTGCATTGCTCATCTAGAGAGCACATCATTGGAACTAATCCGCTATGAGGCCCTATGAGCTCATCTTGACTGGAAAAAAAAAGTGAAATCCATACTATTACTGAAATTTGCAATTGCACCACTAAATCCATAGTATATCCACACTATTTCCATACTATATCCATACTATGCATGGAAATATACAATTATTATGGATAACCAAAATCCATTCTATTTCCAATAAAGGTCCATACAATTTCCATTCCAGTGCTAGTGCTTAGTGGAGAGATTTTGGAGGCCTGTGTTTGTGTGACCTAGCTGCTTAGCAGGCGTTTATCTGCGGACGGCGGCGAAAAATATGCTGACGCAGGACTCAGTTCGACGCAGAAGGGTTTTCAAAATGGCGGCTATTGTTCAAGATCGTTAAAACGCGAAAAAATCAACAACCGTCCATGGACTTATAGCAATCCTAAACCTTACCCAAAACCTAAACCCTAACATTAACCTAAGCTAAAGCGAACTCTGAGTTTAAATTTCGAACTGTCTTGAAAACATCTCGTCCATCCTTTTTAGCCGTCATCGTGTGAGAAGAGCCGGTGCTTCCAGTTTCGCTGTAAACATCGCAGATTTTTTCCCTAGGTCTCCGGTTTCCTCCTGTGTAACACTGCATCAGACTGTAAACAATTGTGAATCACACAAAGCTTCTGTTTCCATTCACAACTCTTAAAATTGTTGAATCAATTTTTCCGCCCACTGAATGTACGTAACCAACTGTTAATAAATTGTTTTTGCAGATAGGCAAATTATTACATTCATGATCACCTCATTATAACAATAGAGTGAAACATTCTCGCTCCTTCATGTTGTGATGCTGTCTTCGCAATCGCCCACAGCGATCTTTATAACTGATGAAAGTGAATCTTGAGGAGATCGCCAGTTACACAATAAAAATAACTTTATCACCATGACATTTTCTGGCCAATAAACACGCTGTACTGGTTGGCTGCTCCGCCTTCTAGCCAGTAAACTGCATATTTTTGCATAAAAAAACGAGGACGCGTTGCAACGCTGTGTGGCGCTTCTGTTACTGTTTATTCTGTGGTAGTATTCTACAATACACCGTCGTGTTTAATGTCGGAGCTACCGAAAACAGTTCGTAGTTCGTCGAGTTTCGACGGTGTGTGCGACAAGAGTCTGGGATCTAGATTTGTACGTCTGTATCATTCAAGAGAAATTCGGTTGATCATATCTTGTTTCAGTTTGTTTGAAAAACGTGAATAGGTTTAGCAAATTTTGTGGTATTTGGTTAAGCCAAAGATTATAAACGCTTACCACACGCGCTGCAACTTTAATCAAACTATACTAAATTCTAAATTCAAACGAGGACTCAAATTGCGATTGAACAATCTAATGCTTTATCACTTTTTTTAGTTTTCACACTGTTTTCAAGATAAGACTTATTCTACTGACTACAATACTGTACAATGTTTAAATATACCAAGTATAGCCAAATGTGTGAGCGGTGTATATAATTATGAGAATTACATATGCAGTTGTGTAGATTTTACGATTAGGGGACTATTGAAATTTTAATACGGCTATATAGCCTATAACTCGCAAGCATTAGTATAAATTAAAATTTTGGGGAGCGAACTTCGGCATTTAAAAAGTCGTCTTCATAAGCTAGTGTAAATTAACTACTTTGTTTTGTGCTTGTTCATTGACTGAAATACGTGCGATTTTCACCCCCGATGTCGTCAGCACGAAAAGTTGAATGAGTTTGCCGTAATGCCACCGGTAATTACAAAACCGTCAGGTCAGAATGTCAAATTTTCTTAATCTTTCGGATTTGGAGTATTAACAACGTTGTTTTGACATGGCAAATATCAAATCGTAATGAAAAAATCCCTTCCGTGTCATTGTGAATGTTGAAATTTGCTAATATTTGCATTTTTCAAATATATATTTTGTATTCGTATAAGTCCGACATAACGCGGTTAAAATTAAAAAAAAAACAACATTAATTCTTATTCGCATCTTGACGATTTGTTTATAATATACCGTGTTGTCGTGTTTCATATCGCTTCAAAACTCATTATACTTAATTTTATCTTTAGTTTTGTTTCGGACATGGGTCCCTAGTTTGGCCATTTTTTGCGTTCAAGTGCCCTTTCGGCTTATCAAACTAAAACTCAAACGTGTTTTTTGCTTGCGTCAAATTTGAAGTGCCAAAGTGCGATCTTTTCATTGATAACGGCGTCGACAAATTGATAACCTAAATTTGACGTTTTCTGCTCGGAAAATTATGTCAATTCGCTTCGAAATATACAAGCGAATATAATTTTTAAGACCGAGTTTAAGTTGCATAGAGGTGTAAATTGTTAAATGTGCATGTCGTGGTTTTAACGCGTTTTAAAGAGCAACTCGGAACCGGTTGCCATGTTAATTTGTATCTCGTATAGCGTGCGACACATAGACAACGCTAACATCTGCAAGACGTATAAACAGGTGAATACAAGCACACTACAGGAGGACAAGGACGCTAATGTACGCAAAGTGTTTTAAAACTAACTAAATATTCCATGCACAAAATCACTCACCCATGCCAGTGTAGATGAATAAGGGTTCTCCAATAATCTCCAGATGGATTTACAGTGTCTCTGCCACGATTTGCGCGCTTGCTCCCAACACTTTTCGCTTCGATTTACTCTGTCTGCTTCGGGGTATCCATCACATAAATCATCAAAATTGTCTTCGTCGTCGCCTTCATCTTCAAATAAACTTTCCACAATACTGTCTTTATCGTCGAGTGCTCCAAAACCTTGTAGCTTTTCTTCCAGCTCATTGTGTTCGTCAAAATAAGACCAACAACAGGGCTCTATAAGTTTTGAGTCGATTCCCCAATAACTTAATTCCTCAGCGAACATAGGACCGCAAATATCTCTCGGTGCATGAAGCTTTCCCGTACGAAAGTAGTTCAGAATATGCGAAAAAAGCCCAGGGTGACGGTCGAAAAAGAACTCGCGGTTCGGACGTGGATCAAGCTTAATCTGCTCGCTTATCCACGTTAGACGCGTATCGGTGAAGTTGTTTAGCGTGCTCAAATGCGTCTCATGTCGTTGTCCTCCGACGTTCAAAATCACTTTAAAATCGGTCGATTGTTGCAGCTCTTCGCCGCCGTTTCCCATGGAATGAACGCGCACCGACATTTTGAATCGACGCCTAGAGCCGTTATTCCGTTAGAATTCTCAACACAGTCGTGGAGACGTTATCTGTTTCTTGTTCAAACAAATTTTAATTATGGCGATTTAGCAAAGTCAGTGTAGCTAATGATGCCCCCTCGTTAAACGTAGTTGAGCGCCGCCACATGCTCGACGCACTCTCCGTTGGTTATCGCAACCTCAAGTCCAACCGCGGAGTGAAAATGCACAATTCTGTGACTCATGCACCGTGTAAATATTTTAGAATATTATCACCGTCGAGCGCCAATGAGAGATGGATATTCACTGCTCAGCATGTTTGGCAAACAGATGTCCTCACTACTTTATGCAGTGATTAACATTAATATTGTTGCCATGCGCAACCGCGAATAGAAATATGGAATTACGCGTGTACATTTGCTGCAGACTTTCACCGCACATACAATGCTATTTTTCTGTACCGGCAAATCGTGGCTGTTTCCAATAGCGATGAATACTCCACTTAATAATTTAAATTAAGCTTTTACATATGCTCTCATCTGACGACACATTTGTGTCGTAAGTGTCATCTCAAATTTATGCCACAAATTTTTCTCGAAAATATTTTCATGATTTCATCAACAGAATATTAATATATCAAATATTTTTAGACCGAAGGAGTCGAAGCACAACAAACCTTACAATGACAAATAAACTCGACGAATTTGCATGCACACGAATTATACGATTCCACATTCGCAGGGACCGCAGTGTTTCAAGCAAAGCGTTTCATCAACTGACAACATTGCTACAGTAATGTTTTATTTTCTGCAAGGTTTTGGAAACGCACCCAGGAAAGATTTGCCATGAGTGAATTCCTGATCAAACGAAGATGAAACTTGAGAAGCGAGAGTTTGCATGCGAGTTTTCTCAACTCTCATGGCCCGGTCAAACGAGAACTAGAGTTGCATGAGAGTTGATGAGAGTTGACTGGATATACCGGTCAAACGAGCAAAAGCACTCGTCAATCAATTCACATCAATATTTGAACCGGATTATAAAGTTACTTGGAGTTCAGTGATATATGTCGATGAGAGTGCAGTTCTGGATTGTCTATATGATGTGGTTAACGGAATTGCAACTCTTAATATCAACTGTCATCCTTGATTCATGATATTCGCACTGAAGAAGAATCTAGGCTCACGGAGTTATGGGTCGAAAGATTCAAAACATCGATAAACTGTGTGTTTTCTAAAAAAAACCAGACAGATAAATGTAACCGCAATGCACCGGCTGGTTCTCATGGCTGGTCTGGGTTTTTTTATAATTTGTTCAGTTTATTTCATCAGTTCACTTTCTCGAATTTATTTCTCCGTTTTCATTGTATGCTTGTAGAGGCACAAAAAAGCTTAAAAGTGAAATCAATTTCAAATATATTTATGGAACAAGCACGTGAACAATCTTGTTTAGGGTGAAATCAATGAAGAATTAGTTTAGTTGCATGTACCCGCCGAGGTACAAACCCGGCTATGTCAGACATAGGACATATGATTCAAGGTGTGATACATAAGATGAAGATGAAGTCTTTAACATTATGTACTATATATATATTAGAATAGCTGAATTGTTAACTGACATGAGTTATCAAACGAGGATGAGAGTTGATAAGAGTTGGCAGTCACGCATTTGTTACATTTTAAGCTCTAAAAAATTAAATGTTTGGTGAGTGTGCCAACTATGTTTTAACTGAAATAGAATACTTGATAGTGTTTGGTAAAGCTTCAAGAACAGCTAACCAAGACGGACAAGGTTGCGGCGCATGTGACTGCCAAGTCTCGTGCACTCCGTCATCCTCGCCGGTTTAATCCGGGCCTTTCATGCGAAGAAGCACAATTGCACTATGTAAACGCGTATACTAGCAAAAAGCAAGAGTATTGTACGACCGACAGACCGTAATACAATTGGCGTACCTCCGGTACGTATCTAAGTACACGAATTATCGCATCCTGTAAATGTACGACATTTTAGTTCTGTTGATGATTTAGTAATTGTTGAGGTATTAATTATTACACATATAGTTTAGAAATTAGATTTTAACCGTTACCGGAAGCAGCCCAGCTTGAATTTGCCTGCCTTACGTTCGGAGCAAAAATCGCAAAAACGTAGGACGGATGAATTCAGATGTCCCTGATTTGACCCACAAGGCTGTACAAAGATTAATATTGCACACGGTATAATAATATCGCTAGCTGATATCGAACCAAAATAGGGTTTGACTCGTTGAAGAAAGCAAGAGAAAATATTATCAAATTATAAGTAACTTTAATCTTTATCTTCTTATTCCGCGCACGACAACCCTAACTAAATTCACAATGCTTTCCGCAACCGATAACATTATTTTGTAATTACTCATTAAGACTTTAACTGATGAAAATTTACATATACTTCATGATTAACAGTTTTTCAAGCTTCAGGGTCCTGACCACACTTCGTTGTTTCCGGCGCCCCCCCCCCCCCTCCCAGATATTATCCACCTGATCACTATCGTTCGAAACCTCCAACGGTTTCAAGTGTTTCTTATGTTTTCCCAATAGCTCAAACACAACCCACGGCAGCTTATTAAAACTTTTCAAGATGTATTACGCCACGCAGTACAAAAGGCATGAACATAAAAAAAACGCAATGTGTACAGAGAGATTATAATCTTAAGACCTGTTAGTAAACACGAGGTTTATTAAAAGTATTAAAAACAAACAGATGATAATAACTTTTTTCTTTGAAGCGCTATGCGAATTTTTTCGTTGCTCTGTACTAAACGCGCTGTTGTACTATGTAACTAACTGACCGGCACAATTAACTTGTCTCGCAATTTTGCGGCGACACAAGTTGCAAGTAAAATTGCAAAGTGTAACATCCCCTGCATGAATCGTCGAGTCTCGGAATTTTTTGTCGCAGCAAAGTTGTGAGAAGTTGCATCATAGACTGCACATGGACCCCCATGTAGTATAAATTGACTATTCAACAGCAATACAAATATAATGGGGTGGGTATAGCTTTGCAATTTATTTATTTAAGTTTGATTTGACGATTGATCTGATATGAAGCCCGTGCGGAATGAAAAACAGACTCAAAAACGTATATGACAATTTCAGATGGATCACAAAGCCACAATGTTAATACAAAATGACGTATTTTTATATCCAAAAGGAAATCGCTGACCAAGCTGAAGCATATCGCAGACCTGGATATCCGGAAACAAGGAAAATAAAGATATTTCTATTTTAAAAATATAAAATTTAAATTTTGTTTTTCGTACCAGAATGGTGAGTCTAGTTCTCAATTTGTTTAATATGAATGTGTTTTAGTAATATGTCATTTGTGTAATATTGTTTTTGGAGTGTTGTCGTTGTTTAAAAAGCACTGAAATATCATGAATAGAAATCAAACAAATTATACATTTCTTTGCCTTCTGTATATTTTAATTTTTGTACATGGAAATTATTTATATTTTTAATAATACATTGGTATATGACGTTGAAGGCACTTTATTAATTCTGCTCCTTTCATAATATCAACCCATACATAATTTGTTAGAAATTTATATATTGCTTTTATGTTATTAAAATTTGCAAATCTCCATCCTTTTCATTAATTCTGCAAGCCAAAATCCGCCATTTTTGGGGTATTGTCTGCCCTTGTGAAAGATTCTAGACAATTCAAACAACGTGAAAAGCGACTTTTAAAAGTTGTAACTTTAAATTAGATTTCAAGTCCTATGTTGAATGTTTAGGGTATCTGCTAGCTATAGCCTCCTCTGAAAGGAATCGCCTTAAGATTAGCAGGCAAAATTTACTTGTGGGTAAAAGAGTAAGTGAACCACGAGCAGGGGCGTAGGAAGCTTAGAAAAGTTGGGGGGGCTAGGCTTTGAGGGGCACTTTAAAAAAAAAAGGGCATCTCAAAAAAAATTTTTGGCGACCCCCCCTACTGTAATAAATATTTCATTTTATTGTTACTTGGATTGTTGACAAGCTAGAAACATGTTTATACGTATTCCTTTAGTGTTTTTTTCGAAGAAAACTGAGACTAAAACAGTAATTTACGCATGATTTGATCAACATCTGAATTCAAGTATCAAAATAGTAATGCACAGTGAATAGTATAAAAATTACACTATATGTTGTCGTTGCCACAATGATCCACAGCATTTTGTTATCCTGCTGCGGAGGAGGCTAGGTGTCTGCCTTGTATGTACCGACTTAAATCACTTCAAATTGTATTTTGAGGTCAACTGTTAATCTCGACTCACCAGACTGCACTGGTTTATATTGCACTCTTGCATGCCCCAATGGCCTTGTTGTCATGTAATTATTTCTTCGTGTTTCGGGCACAGTAGGTGGCATAGTTTTCAGAACAAGGCCCTTTCACCTCTGAGTATGTGGGTTAGGATAAACACAGTTAAGAAATTAATATCACAATTGTTGTAGAGATAAAATAGTCTACACATGTAAAAACGCTCAGGTTGTTGCAATACTAATGAAAACAGGATTGAACAATGTTTTGCTGCCCACATTGTTCGCAGTTGTCAACAATATTGAACAATATTGTTACACCCGATTCAGGCTCAACAATATTTAACAATTATTCACCAAAGGCGAGGTGATTATCGAGGAATATTCGCCGAGACGAAGTCGAGGTGAATATTCCCTGATAATCACCGAGCCTGAGGCGAATAATTGTTTTAGTATTTTTGTGTTTTTCTGGTCTGAATTCATTTTAATTTAGCTTATTTCTTTATCACTAACTTCAACAAAACAGCTATAGCCTCCATTTTGAAAATTTCGATTTTTCAAATTTGACC